ACGTTCCTTTTTGCTGTCCTAATTTCTTTGAGCCATCACTGCGGGTTTCGTGCATAAGCGAACACAAACAGGCACATACACATACAGAGACAGACGAACTCAGAGGCATCGAAGTTGACATATGACCGTAACTTGTAGAGTATATATGCCACTTTTAAGGGTTTGCCGGTGAGTTTTTTTGACTCGATAGCTTGACTTTGGTTGTGACGATAACACTTTGCTCAGATGATGTTCCTCACATGATTGACGAAAGCTTAGCCCCTTTTCACCGTAATCGAAGGAGATTACCTCGGAAACAGTGTCAGCATGAATCTTCCAGTAGAACCATTCGACAGCTGGTCAAGAGGAATCCGTCTTCTGGTGGAACCAACCTTCGAATCTCTTCACCCAACATTTTCACTCGAAATGGAAGTAAGCTCAACAATACTGGGTCATACTCTAGTTTATTTACATACACAAAACTTGTGACTACATCCACTTACCTGCCTACATCACTTTGACCACCTTACCAAGTGAGGTATAAGAAATAAATAGGATCTCAGATGGTCACCTTTCACGGTTTAATGCTTTTTATGATTTGTTTCTGAATAATGGTTTCTGGTTCTGACGATGTCCATCACATGACGACGAAAGTTCAGCACGGATCACGTTGGTCGTAGGGTGATGAGCCGAGCTTTTCTTCGCACAATTCGACAGACAAAAATCCAAGGCAGCCCTCCTGCAATGTCCTGTGAGGTCAATCTACGACCCCCGTCGACCCGTTTTCTCAAACGAAAAGAAAGGTACGCTAGTATCAATCTATGAGGTGATTCTTCGAAACGCATCTTCTTTTCATAATTCAGCATGTTTTCAGCATAACCGAAGGAGAGGTGATTCGACGACTGCGTCGATGTGAATTCTGTAGTCAAACCAGAGTACACCAATCCTACATGAACATGTAGTCTTCTCGTGGTGAACTCGAGGGAAAATTATATTCTTTAGACACTCTTGCTAGAAATAAAAGTCAAGTGAATACTCTCAAAGAGGTCACAATCTTTAAGCATAACAAGGGAGCATTTTTTACCAGCAAACAAGACATAAATATAGTATCGGGCCCTTTATTGCATCAGGACAGATGAAATTATGTACTGCGTACAAGCTTCCAAGAGACGAGTATTACAGTCACTCGGCTCTTTGACAAGATAATAGACGCCAAACTTGTGTTCTGGAATTTTGCAGAATGCAGTAAAAGGGGTGTTCAAACTGAATGGATGCTCTTACATTCCAGTCTTACACGTCGCGACAGGATGTGTCTTGGTGATGTAGAATCCTTTTCCAAGACTGGGCTCCCACATCTTGTGCTCATTTTTAATGTCACTGCCAAAGTGCTGTCTTTGGTCGACATTGTAATTGGCCACTGGTACAGGATTTTCGGGCTGCGGCTCTGTCCAGGCAAGGTAGCAGGGCAGCGTGACCCTGGGGCCCTCGGCGCCCAGAATCTCGCCTACCGGGTCGATCGTCATACCCGAGCCTAGACTGGTGTTGTTGAGCAGGAGAGCGTCCCAAGCCAGTGCGTTTGGAGTTGTCTCATTCAAGAAGCCCACCTGTACCATCACTTCATAGGAAATGTGGACCGGCTGGAGGCAGGCCAGGCGATCCGACGTCGGCTGACTGCAGTCGCGACAGACTGGCCAGAGCTGGTTGGCCTTGGCCGCGGCTTCGTCGAACATCTCCTCGTCGGAGAGGCGGTCCTCATCGTTCACTTGTACCGAATAGGAGGGCAACGGAGGTTGCTTTGACTCCGATCGGCCTCGAGATCGCCGGCGACACCGACATTTGGAGATTGGATCCAAGTCCAGGTTGTCACATTTGCCGGCGCTCAGGTTGCCCGTCTCATCGGGCTTCATCAACTGATGGATGAGGCTCTGCATGGAGGAGGGGCAGACGACCTGGCGATGAGTGTAACACGGCGGTACCAATTGGTGCCGAATCGGCGTTTCCAGCGCGTATAGTTTGCCCTCGAGCCGAGGCACCCCAAACGCCCAGGCCTCGTTACCGCCCGGAATGCCGCTGGGCCTAACGGAGCCGTCGAAGTGACCGGTCGCCAGTCGGTTAAGTCGAGCCTGCGTCGGCCAAGGGTTGAGAGTGATGCGATACCGATTGTTTGCGCTGCCCGGCATCAATGGAAGTCGAGTTTTCAGACTGTCGGGCGTCAGTCGACGCTGGCAGATCTGTGATCGCCAGATACGATTACGCCAAAAACGACAACGTATGCACTGATGCATGGAGACAGTGATCTGTTCGATCAGGCGGACAGAATGATTCTGCAGTTTGATGGACACCTCAACTTGATCACCGGGACGATAGATGAGCCTGTCGAGTTGAGCTGCCACGGTGATGACACCGGCGTCACGGCCACTCTGCGGCCCGATCGCCAGGCAGTAGTCGGTGCTGGCCGCTGGTGGAGGATGCCAGTGCAACGAGATGATGTATGGAAGATAGGTCATCTTGCGAATGTGTAATGTGACGATATCACAAGCTTTCGGTGTGTCGGTGCACGATTTGATGGCAAATGCACGCACAAGCCACGAAATGCCATCTCGTGGCCCGCGCTTCTGTCGGGGTCGCCAGGGCGACGAGTCGGCGTGGAAGAGGTCGCTTTCACGTTGTCTCACTTTGGCCTCGTGACTGATGCCTTTTTTCACCTTCCGAATCGGCTGGCCGGGATGTCGCATTGGCGGATCTACCAACACATCCTCGTCCTCCGAGGTGGTGGGTGTGTCCGGATCGCTATCCTCCTCTCTGTTGCCCAGTCCGAAGACGGCCTCGTAGTAGAGGCCTTGTCGGGTCGGCACATCGGGTCTGTAGGGCCGGCGCATCTTCAGATAGAGCGAATCTGGTCCAGACGATATGTCAAAGTAGAAGGGATAATTGTAGGTCAAGTAGGGATGGCCGGGCACGCCGGAAGTCTTGATCGCGTCTGTGGGCGGAACGAAAGTATGCTTCGATCGGTTGTTAAACGCACTCCCCGAGATCACGCCGAAAGGTGTAATATTCTCCTCCTTCTCGTAGTCTCCGGCCGTCGGCCCGCCCAATTTGGCGTAGAGCATTTGAGTTTCCACGGAGTATGAGTCAATGTCTGCCGGGGCCTCTTTAAGGCACTTGATACCTTCACGCATACAGCCCGGTGGGCTGAGCAGTTTTCGTTCGCTAAATAGCACCTCGTTGATGTTGAAGTCGAAGCCGTCCAGCTCAGATTTGGTGTAGATGTACCTGGCCTCCACCTCCACGTAGACGTAGAGTCCATGTTCAAGGAGCCAGGGATTGATGTGTAAAACACCCTCGAGTTTGCCGTGATGATTCGGCTTGTAGCCGGGAGACCATGGCGGCTCTCGACGACCAGTACAGTCAGCATTCTTCCCCGCGGTACTACAGTCAGACTCGCGCCTCTGGTACAGCTGGAAGGCATCATTCCAGACATCTCGATAGGTCAAATGGAGCCCAAGAGACTTGGAGGGTGAAAACTTGCGGAAAACCGGCAACACCTTGCCCTCCTTGTAGCGTGGCAAGCGAGCATCGCCCGGATGAATCGCCATTCGGCAAGAGACGAAAATGCATTTGCAGAAGTTTGAGTTGTACTAGCGATCGATTCAAAAAGA